TTAGATGTTCCAAATAATATAATATTTTTTATTTATAAATTTAAGATATAATTGCGAGCCGAAACGTTCGGTCATTCACATGTATATGAAGATCAAATTTTCTCATATGTAACTGTGCGCCGAAATGTTTGAATTTTTAAACACAATCAATCTGAGATGCTTAATAATTTCCCCTAAATTAAATAAGAAACTTTTATTGCGAAAAATATTATCTCAACCAGGATTACTTCATCATGATCTTTGATAATATTTTTCGCAATAAAAGTTTCTTATTTAATTTAGGATTAACGAATAGAATATTTGCTATATACATTTATAATACTTTGAATTAATTTCGGTTAATAAATGGCTTTGTTTCTTTTTCCTAACGCGCTCTGTATTTATAAAAAATCGCTGCACACAATCATTCAAACTCCGCGACTAGAGAAGGCAGGTAACGGCATACACATAAATCATTCTTTGTGTTAGAACGCAATCGCGTAAGACTAAGAAATATAACACGCAATTATTTTTTATGGTTCAACAATTAGCAATGATCAATTTTGAAGGTAAATTTCTTTATATCATTAACAATTTGTATATTAATGCAATAGTTATTTATAAAAGTATGATAATTTTATACAATTTCGTTTGTTTGACATAGAAATAAGAATTACAAATTATTTCACAATATGACACAATAATAAGATTGAAATCGGAAGTGCGAAGTGTCGCGTAATCGTTATATTCTAATAATTAAAGCGAGCGTACGAATGTAATTAATAGTTTTTGAGAGTGTTGTATTATGTTTGTGTGAGTACGATGAAGAAACTTGAATAGGAGGAGGACTTGCGAGGAATTGAGCGACGGTGGAGTAACTTTAATGTGAAGTAAGTATTTATTTTCTGATTTTTAATATATTTTATTTGTAATATATTTACTTGTAGAGTTAATCTTGTAATATATTTACTTGCACAGTTAATCTTAAAAATAACATTTACAGTTATCTAATAAATAATTTATAGTTATTTATTATTACGATTTGAATGTAATTTTATTTTACAGTTCATATGACTGTTATGATAATTGCGCTGCTGTGCATGTTGGGTGAATGACAAGTTATCTTTAATTTTAATTTAAGGTCATGAATCTGCAAAAATTGTATCAGATATACAAAAGATATAATAGATAAGAATATATAGATAAAAATAAATAGATAAGAATATATAGATTTAAGTATATTAAGCTAATAGCATATAATGATAATATAATAAAGAATAATGCAATAAATATAATATTTTAGAGCCATTACCAGCTAAAATGGATGGATTAAAATGGATTATGTTAATTAATATAATAAATATTTAATTCTGAATGTGTGTGTACAATTACTTGTATCGATTTATTATGCATGTACACAAAGTATGCACAAAGGCTGCACTCTTATAAAGCTTGTAAAATGTACTTTGCTATATCATGCATCATTTATCAGTCTTTTGATGTCTTATACATCAGAATGCTGATTATAAAATAAATCTCAGTTGCCTCAAATTTTTTGTAGAATACATTAGCATAAAAAGAAACGATAGAAAATATAAAATTTTACAGACACAGAGCGAACTTGGTAAAAAATGATAAACAATGATATTAATTTTTGCAAAAGAAAAATTTTTACATTTACACTGATAAAAATATCATTATTTATACTTTTTGTCAGACGCTCTATACATAGTTGAAATTGTTAGGAATTATGGTTATGAATGAAGATATATTAATTAAGTTATATTGATAATTTATTTATTTAGATAAAAATTGAAAAATGAAAAAGGAAGGAAGTAAAATAAATGTAATAACTATATAAAAATATATTGATACACATTTTTGAAATATAAAATATTTGTTTAAGTTTCTTTAAAATGTTTATATTTGTTAGACTGGGAAATAATATGTGTGTATACTGTATGTGAACTAAGATTTATCTGTAGAATAAAGTAGAACAGGATTGCTAAGGTGTTACTTTATTTCTTCATCTTTCTTCTTTCTAAATATTTTTTTTGTGGATCGTTAGCTTCCATATATACATACTATATGCATATGTGTATTCTGAGATTAAATATTATATAAACTGGTTTGAGAAAATATTTAACAATTTTCATAAAATACATATAATATTATGAGTATAAAATGAAAGGACAGAAAATATTTAACATTTATATTACATATTTTAATCAATCCATTAACCATTATGATGAAAACGTACAAATGATTATTAATCATATGTATTATTAATAGATTAATTTCAATTCAATTTTGTATAATTATTTATCTGGTTTATTGTTAAAAATTCGTAATTAAAGAGAAAAATTATAATATAAAATATAATTTTTCGAATAATATTAAAATACATTTGATAAAAATATA